TGCAGCCACCACACCAACACCTTTGCATAACGATTTGAGCTTGGCGGCCTTCTTGCGACGGATGTCTGGCTTGTGGTGAAGGAGGGCACGGGTGTTCCACGTCATCAACTGGATCTCCTGCAATGGCCTTTCTCGTAAGTTCTCATGCCACGTGTTAAGAGTCCTGCTAAATTTGCCACTGGACTCTCTCCTCCGTGTGGAACTTGTTGTTGAAAGCGGCCGTGAGCTCATCTTTGTTGACACCATGCTTTTGCACGAGGGAATAGTTCCAAAGAGGAAGTGTGCTATCATCTCTCTCATTTCCCACTTGTACCTGCACGCAAGGGGAACCATCCAAGAATACAACTCCACGTTGGCGGTCATGACAAATCCGAAGGTTTGGGAATTGCACACGCACCGCTGCAGCCATGGCTTTGGTTTGGATCTCTCTTCGAACTTGTTTCGGTGATTTGTCCATTCCCACGAAGACCCTCGACTCACCACCCTCAATCGTGCTGACCGAAAATTGTTTCCATGCTCCCGTGATATCTTTGAGTGCTTTCCTTGCAGCCTGCGCCCTTCTGGTTGCCGCGCGGACCTCCGACAGTTCCTGCCAGTGCCAGTTTCGTTCTTCGAGCGCTGATGGAAGTCTGGGCATACCCCGCACCGATCTCGGCCAGATGCCTATCCCGCGCCCAGGACCAGGATCGAAGCACAAGCCCTCCTGACTCCGCCAGGCAAGCACAGGCATACAAGCCGAGACCATGGCCCGGGATCTGCCCTGCCTGGATCGGTGCAGCTGCACGGGCTGGCGTCCCCCGGGTCGGGCAGAAGGGGGGTGCGGCGAAGCAAAAAAACAGTCCTGAAATTGAGAGTGGGGAAGACAAGGCGCAGACGACGAAAACGACGACGGCAACGGCGGCGGCAGCGACGGCAACGGCGGCGGCGGCGGCACCGACGGCAACGGTGGCGGTCACCACGACGACGACGACGACGACGACGACGACGACGGCAGCGGCAGCGGCAGCTGCGATGACGCGGGCGCCGACGGCAACGGTGGCGGCCACGAGGACAATGACGACGACGATTACGACGACGACGACCGACGCCGTCCCCGAGGCCCCCAGAAGCCCCAAACAAGTCCCAGGAGTGCCCCAAAAACCTGGAACATCGAGGCCCGATCTTCGAACGACGACGGTGACGGCGACGTTGACGGCGACGGCGGCGGCCGAGCGGCTGCTGCCGCTCGCGCGACGCCGAGCCCCTCGCGCCGGCGGGACGCCGACCGGCGGGGACCCTCTTAGAGGCTTGGAGGAGGCGGAGGGGGGCGGAGGAGCTGGTGGTGGGCCGGCGCGGTGGGAGGAGAGAAGAGCTGCGCAAGCGGGGGGGACGTGCTCGAGTGGGGAGGAGGCGGTGGCGGGCTGGCGCAGAGGTGGGCAAGCGCGGAAGGAGGAAGGAGGGAAGACCTGTGCGTGGACGGTCTCGCCTGCGGCTGGCTGCGCGCGGCACGACCCACTCCCCAACGGTCGGCCGAAGAGCTGCGCAGGGAGGGACGAGGAGGAGGAGGAGGAGGAGGAGGAGGAGGAGGAGGAGGAGGAGGAGGAGGAGGAGGAGGAGGAGGAGGAGGAGGAGGAGGAGGAGGAGGAGGAGGAGGAGGGAGGAGAGGAGGAGGAGGAGGAGGAGAGTAGGAGGGGGGGCCTCCTCTTGAAGAGGCGGAGGAGGGAGAAGGATCGAGGATGATAATCATGAAAAGAGGAGGCTTTTGAAGTGCACCTTGCCTTGTTACCCTTTTCGGGGGGGGGCCTGCCGAAGCCCCCGAAGGCTTACGAGGACCTCGTGGGACCTCCACAAGAGGATCGAGGATCAAGCATCGAGATGCTTGGAAATTTCTCTGGCGACCTCACGACGCGAGGGGGTCTGGGATTCTGGCTCGAGCGGTCGCACGGCCAAACGCCGCGCTTGCTGTGAGCGCGACGCCGAGGCCCAAGAGGAGAACCCTGCCGCGCGCAACGGCGCCGTCGCCGCGGGGGGAGGGGCAACGATGGGAGGGGGACTGGCTCAGGGGAGGGGGGGGAGGGCAAATCGATCTGGAATCGGTGATGCATCGCCGATAGATCGGCGATCTCCAGGCGTCGCAGTTTTTGCTGCTATCACAGGCGATGTTGCCCTGTTTCAAGAGCCTCACGGATCGATCCAGTTCGGATAGAATGCTACGGAAGGATGAGGTCCAGGGCTCTAGTCGAGTTTTGCTTATGATGATGCAGTGTTTCGTGACGTCGGAGCTCGGGAAACTTCGAAGTCGCGATTTGTGTTAAATGTCTGAGTGCCTGGGTGTCTGGGTCAGTGTGCTCTGGCGTGGTTGACTTCCCCTGCCTTGGCCCACTCGCGCCTCTAAAGAGCGGTGGGGGCGCTTCTGATCGTTCCCATGCGTGCAGTATTTTATCACGGGCCGCTCGCTGAATGGGGTTTGAGGTCACGGTGCCGAGGAACAGGAGAGTGGGTGCCGATGCTCCGAGCACCCAGGTCGTGCCGTGCCGCGGGACCTGGCACCCGCGCCCCGCACGCACCGGCGGCTCCTGCCGCCGGCTCTCCTGAGCCGCAGGCCAGACGCGAGGCCATGGGCCCCTCGAGCGTCGGCCAGGCGCCAGGCCCTGGGCCCTCCGAGGCGACCCCGCCTCGACCGAGCCCCCGCACGGCCTCGCCCCGAAGACCGCCGCGCCCGCCGACGGGACCCCCGCCAGGCCCAGGCAAGCGGCGCGCCCTCGAAGAGCTGGGGGGCGCGACCGCGCGCCGCCCCCGAGCCGCCCGCCCCCCCCCCCCCCCCAGACATCCGACGTCGTGTTTTTTGTTCGCAGCGTGGCTCCCCCCTTCCCAGGGACCGGGTGTTTCATCCCAGGCCGGTTTTTTGACGGCCCCAGGGCCCGACGAGGGCCCAAAGAAGCCGAAAATGGTCAAAAACCATCCGACTGTTTTTTCACACCGAGCGGATGTCAGGGACTTCAGAGGCGCGGATGGCCCAAGAAAAAAATAGAAAGCCATGCTAGAACACACTGAGCTTCCCCCATTTCCCCTCGTCCACACTGTTGTCGTCCTCCTCCCCCTTCCGCGCGGGCAAAGCGAGAACGCGAAGAGCTGACTCCCGCGCGAATTGGCTTGCGTCTGTCCTCCCCCTCCCTCTCGCCGTCCCCCTCCTCCTCAACCTTCTCCTCCACCTCCTCCTCCTCGCCCTCCTCCTCCTCGCCTCCTCCTCTTCTTCCTCCTTGTCTTCCTCCTCCTCCTCCTCCTCCTCCTCCTCCTCCTCCTCCTCCTCCTCCTCCCCCCTTCTCCCCATAATCATCATCATCATCATCATCATCATCATCATCATCATCATCATCATCATCATCATCAGCAGCATCATCATCATCATCGTCATCATCATCATCACCATCATCATAATCATCATCATAATCAGCAGCATCATCATCATCATCATCATCATCATGATCATCATCATCAGCATCATGATCATCATCATCATCAGCATCAGCATCATAAGCATCATCATCAGCAGCAGCATCATCAGCAGCAGCATCAGCATCAGAATCATCATCAGCATCAGTATCAGCATCATGATCATCATCATCATCATCATCATCATCAGCATCATCATCATCACCATCATCATCATCATCATCATCAGCAGCATCATCATCAGCATCGTCATCATGATCATCAGCATCAGCATCATCATCATCATCAGCAGCATCGTCGGCATCACCATCATCATCAACGAAATCATCAGCGTCATCATCATCAGCAGTATCATCATCAGCAGCATGAGCATCTTCACCAGTAGCAGCATCAGCATCAGCAGCATAAGCATCAGCAGCAGCAGAAGCAACAGCATCAGCATCAGCATCATCATCATCGGAATCAGTATCACCCTACTCACCATCAACATCATCAGCATCATCAGCATCCTCGGCATCACCGTAATCTTCATCATCAGCAGCAGCATAAGCAGCATCGTCATCATCAGAACCATCATCGTCGACATCCTCATCGTCATCATCATCATCATCATCATCGTCATCATCATCATGATCATCACCATCGTCATCGTCATCGTCATTGTCATCGCCATCGCCATCATCATCACAACCACCATCAGCAGCATCATCAACATGAACATCAACATCAACAGCAGCATCATCATCAGCAGCAGCATCACCGAAAGCACCATCATCGATCAGCACCACCATCATCATCAGCAGCATCAGAAGCAGCAGCAAAAGCAGCATCATCAGCAATAATAACAACATCTGCATCTGCATCAACATCATCATCATCACCATTATCATCGCCATCATCATCATCATCATCATCATCATCATCATCATCATCATCATCATCATCATTCTTATCATCATCGGCATCAGAAGCAGCATCAGTATCATCACCGTCATAATCATCGTCATCATCGTCATTATTATCATCATCAGTATCATTACTATCACCGCCATCATCATAATCATCGTCATCATCATCATCATCATCACCATCATCATCGTCATCATCCCCCCCTCCCACCCTCCCTTCCTCCCTCTCTCCCTCTCTCTCTCCGTCCGCTTCCTTCTCCTCTCCCACGCTCCCACCCCAGTGCGCGCCGCTCCCGCGCGCGAGGAGGGGGCAGGAAAGAGGAAGGAGTGTTCAAGGGGGCTCTCAAGGGCCTCAAGATTTCCACTGAGGGCCACGGCGTCCCAGAAGGTTCTAAGAGGATCTAGGGGTCCGAGGGAGCAGGAGAGGCAATTGCAGGCCCCGGTTCTCATCGAGGGATGCTTCGCTAATTTCCTGCACGGACATATTGCCTGGCCACGCTGTTTCGTCACAGCCCTAAACCAGCAACACCATTCACGCTACCGAATGGCTATCCCTCGTGCAGACATCTCGCGCAACACCGCTTCCCAGACCTGGGCAACTCCGATATTGGACATCGTGAGAGCAGCACGTAAAAAAGGTGCTCCGATCGCGCGACACCCTCAGCCCTCAGGGAATCCGCTGAGCCCTTGCGGCAAGGGCTTCTCAACTGCATCGAAGTTAGAGTCGAATTTAGAGGTTAGGAGGTCAGGCCGAAGCAAAACGTGAGGTGCCTCAAAAGGAAAATCGTTTCGATTTGTGCCCGACGCGCGCTGGCAAAATTCTCGGCACAACCGGATGCAAGCCTGGGGCTCTATAAGCAAGCCTAGTTACATAAAATATTTCGGTCCCGCTATCAATATATCGGTCCCACTGTCATTGTATCGACCTGTACCACGGACGGGAGAGGAGGTACATGGGAGGTGAAGGCATCATGCCACACGCATTATCCAAAGTCTGGGGAGGAGACCAGACGATTGTTCACCCCCAATTGAGCCCGCTTGCGCCAAGCAACACACTGCAACATAGCATGTCGAGGGTTCTCGGGTGCGACGTCAGCCTGGGAATCATCTCTCTCCACTCGGCATTGTAGGACTCGTCTGTTGCCTGCCGAAGCGGGTGCACGACAAGCGCATGTCAATTTCACCCCTGACTCGTCTGAGCATTCCCTCTTTCCTGCTACTCCCGCCTATGTGATGTGCTGGCCTCTTGCGACGGGGGCTTTCCTTGCAACAATGAACAAGTGAGGCGTCGAAAACTGAGGCAGGCATCAACATTCAGACTATCGCCAGAATCAAGCCCATGGCAGCAGCATGGGCTGCCAAACCTCATCATAGGGGCGTGTGCCCTTGCATGGCTCTGATGTAACCAGTGGCGATGACCGAAGTATCCGTTATCAGCTGTACGCGATGGCTAAATTACCCTGCGACGTACCCAACCCATCAGCAGTAAATGGCAAGACGGGCTGGTCCAGAAAAAGATGGCTGATGACAACACAGGACTGGTTAGTGGGAGGATGTCTGAGAAGCGCGCGCAACCCAAGGACGACAACTGACGCCCCAGGCTCGAAAAGAAAATGGGGGTGGGAACGTGGGGCAGGAGTCAGAAGAGGACGGGGGAGGGGCCGAACAGTTCACGCGACATCAGCAGTGAAACGGTGGAAAGAAGAAGAGGGCGACAACGAAATGGGCAAGGTGAGAAACGAGGCTGGACAAGCAGCGCGGCCGCGCCATGACACTCTGGCGCTCCACTAGATCAACTGTTCATAGCTAGTGCAAAAAGCGAGCGAGGCCGAGCTCGCCCGCGAACTTCTCCACTTCCTGCCTGCACCGTTCGGTGCGGGAAACATGTAGTCAGATAGCTTGCCCGAGTTCTGGCCGCAACGTGCGGCCACATAGGCTCTTCGAAAAGGTATGGGGCGACGGTGACTCGCCGTAGACGTCTTCGATCCGCCGCCCCCTGTGCCTGCCACAATGGTGCAAGACGTGCCAGATGTTCGGTGGTTGTCTGCTCTTTTTAAAGAGTTCCCAAAGGACCTTCGGTCCGACTCGCCACCGTGCGTCTCGCTCGAAACATCCTCCCAGCAGGAGGATCTTGATTTGCGCCGGTCATGAAAATGTAGCTCTCGCCGCAAACTTCCTCAGAAAATGGTAGTGGACGCATCTCAAAAGGTGGAAGGCAAGGACCAGAAACACACGTTTCGCAATGCAGCTTCACGACATGGGGGTGTTGGAGGATATTGCTACGACGCCAAATCATCAAGAATAGGGGCTCTCGCTCGAGACATCCTCAAAAAGAATGCTGAGTAGGTTCACTAACTATCCGTATCTTCAGTGCTCCACCAATTCTCGCTGAGAATTCGCTAATTCGTGTTAGGTTCAGGCAGCCCAGCCGAATCTGGAGCAGTTCGCGGGCACGTGAGGCAAGGATGCCTCTACCCTGGCCTCAAGAAGCACACCACATCCATGAGGACACAGGGCGCTTCCCTGAAAAGAGAAGTGGCAGTGCACAGTTCAGGGATTGAACTTTTGTTGTAGCACATATTGGTTAGGTGTTCAAAATCGAAACTCTGGCCTGCAACATCCCCAGCCCCATCTCAATGCGAGGCGAATATGTGCATGAACGCTCCATACGACAGAACACATCGCCAGATATGCACGATCAACGCTGCCCTCATCTCCGCCGTGCCTCCCACAAGCCCCGGAAATTGGCGACAAATGCGCAATTCGTAGCCGTATCAATGAGCCGCGAGGTCTCGGCTGGGTCCGCGTGGCCCCCGACTCCGCCGTGCCTCCCAGGAGCCCACGAAAGTAGCGACAAGTGCGCAGTTCGCATCCTCCTAGGGAGCTGCGAGGTCTCTCCCAGACCACGCTGGGCCTCCCAATGAGCCCACGACAGCGGCGGCAGTTGCGCAGGTCGCAGCCACGCAGGTGGCAGCGAGGTCTTGTTTGGGCGCGCGTGGCTCCCGACTCCGTTGAGCCTCCCAGGAGCCCGCGAAAATGCGACAATTGGGCACTTCGCAGCCCCCCAGGGAGCCGCGAGGTCTCGGCTGGGCGCTCGTATTCCCACACTCGGCTGGGCACCCCAGGAGCCCCAAAAATTGCGTGCGCCAGTTGCGCAGGTCGCAGTCTCCCAGGGTGCTGCGAGGCATCGGATGGGTGCGCATATTCCCCGACCCCGCCGTGCCTCTCAGGAGCCCGCGCAAGTGACGACTTTTCACAGTTCGCAATACCCCAAGGGATCTGCGAGGTCTCGGCTGGGTCCGCTGACCCCCCTTCCAAGGGAGCTGCGAGTTCTCGGCTGGGTCCGAGTGCTTCCCTACTCCGCCGTGCCTCCGAGGAGCCCACGACCGTGGCGACAGTTGCGCAGCTCGCAATCTCCCCAGGGAGCTGAGGTTCCGGCTGGGTCCGCGACCCCCCCCCCCCTGCCCCGCCGTGCCCTCCCAGGAGCCAACGAAACTGGCGACAGCTGCGCAGTTCGCAGCCCCGCCCCCCGCCCCCCGCCCCCAAAGAGCTGCGCAGTCTCGGCTGGGTCCGCGCACTCCCCTGCTCACCCGTGCCTCCGAGGAACCCGCATAAGTAGCGAAGTGGCAGCTGCGCAGCTCGCAGCTCCCCAAGGACATGCGAGGTTTCGGCTGGACCAGCGTACTCCCCTACTCCGCCGTGCCCCCTAGGAGTCCACGAAAGTGGCGAGAAGTGCGCAGCTCGCAGTCCCCCCAGAGAGCTGCGAGGTCTCGGCTGGGTGCACGTAGTCCCACTAACGCTGCGACATGCAATTCGCAGCCCCCCAGGGGGAATGCAAAGTCTCGGCCGGGCCCGCGTACTCCCGTACTCGGCAGTGCCCCCCAGGAGTCCACGACAAGGGCGACAACGGCGCAGTCCGCAGCCATCCAGGGAGTTGCGAAGCCTCGGCTAGGTCTGCGTACTCCCGTACTCCGCCGTGCCGCCCAAGAGCCCAGGAAATTGGCGACAATTGCACAGTTCGCAGCCACCCAGGGGAGCTGCGAGGTCTCGACTGGGTATGTTTACTCCCCGACCCGCCGTGCCCCCGAGCCCACGAAAGAGGCGGCGGTTGCACAGTTCGCAACCTTTCATGGAGCTGCAAAATCTAACCTGGGTCTGTTTACTCCCCGACTCCGCATCACTCAGGGAGCAGCACAAAAAGAAAGCAGGAGCGCGGGCAGCCTGAAGCGAGCGTGTTTCCTGGGGTTCAGGGGGCTCGACCGCCGTGCGCTAAGCGGAAGATTTGGCTAGCGCGCGGCGAGATCACGGGCAGCAGCCAGCAACGCGTTTGGCTGGCTGGCCGTGGCCGTTCTGTACATATTGTAGAGGTGGAGCGCGAGGACTACGCGTCGGATGGTGGCCTGGAGCGACATATCGCTCGGCACAGGCGGGTAGGTTGCTGCGGGGCCCAGCCCCCAGCTTGTCAGCGTGCTGATGATGGGTGGAGGATCAGGGGGCCAGAGGAGGCTCAAGAGGCGAGGACAGGAGAGGTAGTGGAAGAATGAGTCTGGCTGCTCGCAGCAGCCGAATACGCAGCGTCCTCCCCCCTGCTTCCTCTCGTATTCGGCTGCACAAGAGGAAGCAGGAGGAGGAGGATCCCACGCCACTGAAGGGCGCACGTCTTTGTCTAGGCCGCGCTGGCTGCGCCGCCGCCGCCGACGGCCCCCGCGGGGCCTGTCCTCAGGTCCGCCTCGGTGGAGAGCACCTGGTTGAAGCCGCTGTCGGGCGAGGCCGCACTCGCGTGACTGTTCATGCCCATCGCGAGCTCGAGCCCAGACGAGACCTCCACGAAGCACGACGAAGAGCACCCCACAGGACCAGTGCCGGCGTCCGTGGGCCCCAACTCATCCGCACCAAGGTGGCCAGAATCACCCCCTTGAGGCACAGCATCTTATGCTAGCGGTACTTGGTCTGGAACAGAACGCCCACAGTCCACACCATCACGAGGAGGATGCTCACCACCGCCAGGAAGAGGCGCAGGAGCTTCAGCGGCAGGACCAGCACCTCCACTTCCAGGAAGATCTTCAGCTTCACCTCCATCAGGAACACCGATCCTCCAGTCCGCCTCGGAGGGGGGCACCTGGTTGAAGCCGCTGTCGGGAGCGGCCGCACTCGCGTCGCCGACCAAGCCCCTCGAGAGCTCGAGCACAGGCGAGACCTCCACGACGGTCAACAAAGGGCACACCACAGGACCAGTGCCAGCGTCCGTGGGCCCCAACTCACTTGCACCAGGGTGGCCAGAATCTTCCACATGAGGCGCAGCATCTTCTGCTAGAAGTACTTGGGCACAACCAGGACTCCCACGGTCCACACCGTCGCAAGGAGGAAGCTCACCACCGCCGGGAAGAGTCGCAGGAGTTTCAGCGGCGGGTCCAGCCCCTCCACCTCCAGGGGGATCATCAGCTTCACTTTCATCAGGAACACCTTCATTCTCATGTGGAACGGCTGCCGCAAACAGTGGGGGGGGGGGCTACCACCTCCAGGAAGATCGTCAACTTCACCTCCATCAGGAACACCTGTCCTCAAATCCGCCTCGGAGGGGGGCACCTGGTTGAAGCCGCTGTCGGGAGCAGCCGCGCTCGCGTCGCCGCCCATGCCCATCGCGAGCTCGAGCGCAGGCGAGACCTCCACGACGGTCGACGAAGGGCGCCCCACAGGACCAGTGCCAGCGCCCGTGGGCCCCAACTCACATGCACCAAGGTGACCAGAATCTTCCAATTGAGGCGCAGCATCTTCTGCGAGAGGAACGTGGGCACGACCAGAACACCCACGGTCCACACCACCGCGAGGAGGAATCACACCACTGCCAGGAAGAGACGCAAGAGGTTCAGCGGCAGGTCCAGCCCCTCCACCTCCAGGGGGATAATCAGCTTCACTTTCACCAGGAACGCCTTCAGCCTGATGTGATACGCCCGCGGCAAACAGTGGAGGGCTGCAACCACCGCCAGAGCTGAGGGTGTCCACGCCGGCTTCATCTTCCACTGTTCCAGCATATGGATCATAAAGGCCATGACCTTCGACAGCAGGGAGAAGAAAGGCAGCAAGGTGACGAAGCATCCAGTCGATCTCGAGGTACTTGTCCCTCGTCAACTTGGGGAATAAATGGTGAAGTAGCCGCAGAGCTTGCCAAATTTGGGGCCCCGAGAGTTCTGCAAAAGTCACAAGATGGCGCTCCCAATGTCCAGGCGGTCGTTCAGGCTGAAGGGCTACTGAAGACGAAGACCAGCACAAGTAGTCGCAGATCCATACAGCAAGTTCGGATTTACGGGCAGGATCGCAGGAACCAAAATGCTGACTGCATGAACCGTGTTGGGTTCTAACGCGCCCCAATCCACCTCGCCAACGCCCGCAGGAAAGTGTCCACAATGCTCACCCAGTAAAAACGCGGTGCCCCCAGCTGCGAGCGCGCGTTGAATAGTAAGAACCTGCTGCCTGAGTTCAGCTTGATCCCTCGGTTCGTGACCGCGGAGCCCCAGGACAGCGTGATCAAGTGCAGCATGCCCATCAGCTCCACCAGCCTGCACGGGGTCTGCCTCTACAGCAGCAGGCGCACCTTCAGGCAGTACCTGATGCCGTATATCGTCAGCTTGCCCCGCTTGGTCAGGACCGTGAGAAGAAGAACTCGAAGAGCATGGGAGAGCAGTCTCATGAATGGGTTGAGGAGCATCCTGAGCGGGGACCGCGTGCACCGATAGTGCAGCGGCAGAGTCGTGAGCCACATGAGGTGCACCAGGAACATCATCAGACTGCGTGCCGTTATCGACTCGATCATGTAATCCAGGACCGCGCTCTGGAGCCACCGCCTGGGCCAAGATCTCCGCGTGCACATCCTGCTGATCCGATTCCGATTCGGGACTCAACAGCGAGAGCATGTCGTCCTGTGGCAGGTCCTCAATCATGTCGTGAGGTGCGTCAACAGCTTCAGCCAGCATCAACTCGTCGAAATCCGCAGGAGAGCCATCGTCCAAGACCATATCCAGGCCGAAGGGAGGAAAACCAGGCTCTTCATCAGTACCTTCCAAGAGCTCGCACGGATGGCTGAGCAACCAAATAACCAGCTCCCTGTGCTCCGCCGACATCGCGCAGTTCGCATCCAGATGGTCAATCGCCCGCTGGAGTTGGCCAGGCGAGAGAGACTCTTCCCCTCTCCGTCCAGGAACACCATGCGTGCCAGATGCAGCCAACACCGCGTAGACAAAAGAGCTGACCGAGCGTAAAGCAGGAAGCCGATCAGCATCGCCCCCACGACCAGGAGCCGGCGCGACATCATCAGCAGGCAGGTCAGGAGGCATTGCCACCGAAAGTAGGGGTGACGATGCATGCGCAGGGTGCCCTCCCGCACCAGATGCCTCACCGCTGGCAGAAGCTAAGGCACCACCCACAGTCCCATCAGGGTAAATAACCCCAAACCCATGCTCAGCCATTAGACGGTCGAAGTTCCCATCTGACGAGCTGGAGTCAGGCACTTCACCTTGCGCAAGTGGCGATGTTGGCTCCGCCGGTGGCAGGGCCTCGCCATGTGCAGGAGGTGGCATTGTTGACGACATAGCCGTAGGATCCCAATCAGGAAAAGGATGCCCTTCGCGAGATCGCCGAGCCACTTCTTGCACTTGGCGCTCGAATTCTTCGTCAGTGAGAATGGAGCCAAAATGATGAGCAAATTCAGCCGCGGTCATCTCGGCACCGTCGTGACAACCAGAAGAGGGAGGTTCCGCTTCACCCATGCTCGCATTGTGTCCACTTTCTGCCATGATCTCTAAGTCCACGTCCGTAGGCTTCTGGAGGCCATCCCCATCCTGTGACGCCATCCATCTCATCGCCAACCCGCGATGTCATTTCGCACTGGGTTGTCGGTGTAGTGTAACATTTCCTGCGGAACAGATCCATATCTCGCTGCTCCGTCCACTTCGCAATGCAGCTCGCTGCGTGGCGCGCTGCAAGCAGGAGATGAAATCGAGCCACTCTCGCCCCGCATGACATTTTCATAAGCATTTTGGCAGCAATCGGCTGAGAACCCCCGCCGCCGACGGAGTCGGTGGCTCTGGGTCCTCTGGGCCAGGCCCAACGGCTGCGCCGGGGGCCTCGACCTGCTTGTCCGGAGGGCAGGGGTCGACGTTGAGCCTCAGCGCGCTGGCCAATGCCTCCTCTGCTGGCGCGTGCGTTTCGTACCCCTCGGGCCCCCCCCCCCCTTTGTCCACCCTCAAAATTGGTAAGTTCAGGGCCGAAAGGTGCACCCGCAGCGGGGTGTGTAGCGGGGCCGGCGCCAGTCAGTTGCGCGCGCAACGCGACGCAAGATTCGAAGAATAAAAACACATCGCACTCAATGGTTCGGACCGTCCTTGGTTTTCGAGGCTGGTAGCGCTCAGTCGGCTGCGCCGATGAGTCACCCCCCGCCCCCCGCGTTCTCGTCGTCGCTCTCCGGTTGTTGCCCAGGTGCGGACGGTTTCTTAATTTTCGGTGGCGGAGGGTCGAATGCGGCCGGCGCATCTCGTTGCCATTCTGCATGCTGCGTGGACAAATGATGCTCGATTCCTAGATATCGGCCCACATCTGCAGGAGGGTGTATTTCTATATCTCCAGGGCAACCCTCAGAGGGCGCCTGTAATAGACGCCATCCTCTGTCGAGATAATCTCTTGGCCCAGCGAGTCCGAAATCGCCGGCGTCGATTATAAGGGGCAGTCGCAACCGCGGATGAAAGTCAACTACGCCAAGGACCACGCTGTATAGAACCTTTTCGAAACAACGTGCCCCTCGCAATGTTGCCCCCAATATCCCCCAGAGTCGGGATGCCCGCATAGCGAAAGTACAATTGGGCACGCGGGGTTGCGAATGTCTTTCCAGGCAGGCGGCCGCTCGCCACGCGGTAAGAAAATCCACGTCGGAGGGCCCCGCCAAGCTTGGATTGGGCGCAGGCCTGTTCGGCGTCAGCCTGTTGGATGTCACGCCCCTCGAACAGGCCGCGCGCCCCCGCTGCTCTACTCGCCTGCGTCGTCGCCGGACTGCTGGGAAGTTAAGAATAATGCGACTTCTTAGTGCTAATTTCTGACATCCGATCCGTCGAATACAACTCTACCCGTGCATGTGCGCCCTTATGCCCCAGCGGGGGCTCAGGGTTCAGATCGCGAATGAACGTCCGAAATGAACTGCGCGCCCCTTTCTTGGTCGGATCACATCATTGTTTTCCACGGCGCCTGATTCACCCCATGTGCCAATGCGGCGCAGACGATCTCACTCTGTCCGCAGGGCCTTTCGGGCGTCTGCATTAACAAGTACCTCGGCCTTGGGCGCGGACCGAGCCGCGGCGGCATCTATGCGCGGTGGGCACATCTCATTCGGAAGTCGGCATGTCCGTTCAACGATTTGGGCGCCGTCAGTGCATGGAATCTAAAAAATCAGGTCGAGTCTCTCCTTCCCCCGATGAGTAGGAGGGGGTAAGGTTGCTGCTTGCAATGGCATTCGGGGCACGCGACGTAGCGAAGCGGCGGCCGTCGGATTCAAGGTCAGGCTAGCCCCTCTCGAACTTGGCGGGCCAGGGAGACCGTGGCCCCCCCAGAATGAGTCGGGAGGTGCCCCGCCCCGTAAGATGGCCCCACCATGCCATGTCTGCTTCCACCGCGCCTCCTCATCATTGGAAGTGCCTCCATCGCACCCTGGGCCTGTATGTGTAGACAGTTCCTCTGCCAGCCCAGCGGGGTGTAGCAGCGCGCGCCAATCGACCTCAGTTTCTTCTGTCACCATCGTTTCTTCCTTTTTTGTTGCCGATTGTCTGCACCAGAATAAGAACTGCTGTCGGAGAGTCTTGGCTTTTCAGGTTCATGGGCATGGGCCTCCTCCTGGAATTCGACTGGGTCGATCCCCGAAGGAGAGCAATACAGGGTCCTGGGTCTTCAATGCCGAAGAAACCTCGCTTCTCGAGTCGGAACTGTTCGACAGCCTTCCTTCGTTCGGCATGGCTCATGCTGAACCATCGGCTCATCGGCTCGGGTGAATCCCAAGGTTGGTGGAATGTTGTAACTTCTTGAGCCATTGAGCACCGTGCAATGGGTTAGGGTCAGTGGTCCATGCTCTAGTAACAGGTATGTAATCTGAATTGTAGTACAACGCTGCTCGAATAATGCACAGGTTCCGTCTTCCTTTCAATGGCAGCTTCTCGGTTAGCTCACCTTTACTGGATACAACCACAACGCGTCGATCTTCATAAAATTCCATAATGTCTGAGTTTTGCCTGGTACGGGCAAGGAGCTGCCCCGGCCCGGGCACTTTCGATCTCGGCTGGGTCACAGAAAAATTGGGTTGACGATCCAATATGTATTCGACATCTGCGAGACCAAGCTTTTGTTTTAGGTCACTGTCTGGTCTCGAGTCTCGCTGAGGGTCCCGACCATCAGGTGCCACAGGCACGTCATCCACAACAATTCCCACCGGACCATCATCATTAGAGTCATCGTCGGGGTCTGGTGGCGCTGCGGCTTCGCCCCGGGGTGGGGGCAGTGGCATCGGTTCGCCAGGGTATCGATCACTGAACGGCTGAGCCGTCTGTGAACCCAGTCGGGTCCCCTGCTCGGCTGAGCCGGCAGAGAAACCAACCGGAAGTATAGCAACACCCTCAACTTCGGTCTGGGTTTTCTCATACGGCTCCCTCATGGGGAACTTGGGCTCTCAGTCAGCCGCAACGCCATCTAAAATATTGCTGTAGATGTGATCAGACTTCTCAATGATCGGGCGCTTGCCAGCTGGCGTTCGCCCTGTTTCCATGCTGAGTCCGCTAAGTTGTCTCAACGGTGACACATAGCTCTCGGGCCCTACCGTGCCCCTCGCTTTATGTACATATCCCACGCAAATCCCCGTGACCATCGTCCCGCCGGTTTTGGCGATCCGAAACCTAGATTCGGGAGGGGGCATGAAACGCACGAGGAATCCGATTGGAAGGAGCGGAGCAGCAAAGTCGTGTCCGAATCTGCGCTTCAATGACGAGTCACCATCCTCAGGGGTCCGCGCATTACGTAGCACCCCGCAATTGCGGGTAAGAGTGAGGGGGCGGGCGCGGGAGACGCGAGCGTCGAGCCGGCGGGCCACGTGGCCCTCACCTTCCCTGTCGATGGCGCTCTCCTCCTCCTCCTCCTCCTCCTCCTCCTTTTCTTCCTCCTCCTCCTCCTCCTCTTCCTCCTCCTCCTCCTCCTTTTCCCCGTCCGCGGCCTCGTCCTCATCGTCGTCGTCGTCGTCGTCCGCGTCCTCCTCCACCTCCTCATCCTCCTCCTCTTCCTCCTTTTCTTTTCCTTCTCGTCCTCCTCCTCTTCTTTTTCATGTTATTCGTCTTCTTCTTCTTATTATTATTTTTTCATATTATTCTTCTTATTATTATACATATGAGTATTATTAGTACGAGTATCAATACTAGTATTACTATTATCATATTATTAATATCATTAATATTATTATTCGTACTATTATTATTATCATACGAATTTTAACTGTTAGTAAGTATTTTGATTATTATTATTAATATTACCATTAATATTAATATGATTACTATGAGTATTATAATCATTATTCTTATTCTTATTAGTCATCTTCATATTATTCGTATTATGCGTTTTCTTGCTATTATTCGTATGATCATTATGATTATCATTAGTATTATGAATAGTATTCGTACTCAGTTTTTCATATTTTTCTTCTTCTTCCTTCTCCTCCTCCTCCTCCTCCTCCTCCGCCTCCTCCTCCTGCTCTTCCTCCTCCTCCTCCCCCTCCTCCTCCTCCTCCTCCTCCTCCTCCTCCTCCTCCCCCTCCTCTTCCTCCTAG